TTCCAATGACGGAAATCTTGCACCGCCTCAGACAGAACAGTTGTCAATGTTAAAAAGGGGTTGCAGGGATTTGTCGACACGTCATTGAAAATGCTTACTATGTAAGTAGTGCAAGATTTCCTCCATCCACAGTATGTATGCACCCTAAACCCAAAACTCCCCCTCGAATCCTCAATCAGAATTCGATAATCTCCTCCTAACCTCAGATGTCCCTGAAGCCCCAAGGGGGCCCCCATTTTGAGAAACCTCCACGTCTGTTGTGCTTGCCTGGCCTTCCTGGTTTTAGTTGGGAATATGAGATAGTGCTTATGTAATCCCTATGAAGTATACACCCTTTTTCCGTAAACCCTAAACCCTGAACCCTAGACCCTTAATCATGAACCCTAAACCCTTAATCCTAAACCCTGAACCCTACACCCTGAACCCTAAACCCTAAACCCTAAACGCCAAGAACACGAAGAAACAGCAAGTTGCAGGAGCTGGAAGCAGCTGGAATGTCTCCTCACGAGGCAGAACCTGTTCGACTACCATTACGTACTGCTTCTAAGTAGGGAATAAGGGTTTAGGGTTTAGGAATAAGGGAACATAGTATATAGGGGTTATATAGGCATTACCTTCCCATGTTGCCTACTAAGCGCTAGCAAGATTCCGCAAGGACTATTAAGGGGGAGTGGGGGAGAGAGAAAAGGAGTACTATAGGGGTATACATGTGAAGTACTTCGACATTATTATAAGAATCCACTCCCTCACTCTCCCTTAAGTATAGCTTATTGGTTCTTAGTAGGGAAACAGGGAAATATTTGATATAGGGTTTAGGGTTTAGGGGAGTATATAGGTATTGTGTTCCCTTATTTCACTCTCCTTCAAGCACAAGTAAAATGACAGGCGATTGAAGCAATTGAGAAGATGAACGAAGAGTTGGCCTGCGACTCGAGGATGGACCTGGTGGGGCTTAGGGTTTAGGGATTTTAGGGAATTTGGGGCTATATGAGCCATAATCTAAACTCCTTTAAGGGGGGTTATATAGGGGATTATATAGGGGACTATTATATGGGTTACTAAGGGGGATACTAGGAGTTTAGACTATAGCTCATATAAGGATAATGGAAAAGAAAATGCAAACTACTATTTAGGGTTTAGGGTTTAGGTTCATGGTTTAGGGGGTTTAGGCTTTAGGACTTGTGATTTACTTCATTTACTGGTCTTAGTATGGAATGAGGGAATGTAGTATACAGCGGTTATATAGGGATTACATTCCCATGTTCCCCTAAGAACCAGTAAGATTATGGGCTCTAGACTTAAAGTTTACAGCTGGAACTTCCAATTTTGGACTTCCCCAGGAAGCCCCATTAATGGAAAATCCTATGGAACAGAAAATGCGACATGAAATAGGAAGTAGGGAATAAATATCTAGGGGCTTGTAGGGTTGGTGGACTGAAACTCCTGCATGCTGTCCAAGGTATGGGTCCCTGTAATAGTGATTATAAGGGATAGTAAGGATTATAATTATCAGGGTCCTCCCTTATTCCTATTCTCCCACTACTTGAGGGAGTTCCTCCTAAGGTATTCGGCACTTAGGGAAGTTTGAGTATCAACCTTATGGGGTAGGGTGAACCAGGATCATTTCCGTTTCTGCAGAGCCAACTCCAGACATCCATCTCGACGAAACCCAACATACTTGCCATACGATACAACTTTGATGGGAAACCCCTAGACCCTAGACCCCAAACCCTAAACCCAAAACCCTAAGCCCTATTGAAGCCGGAGTGGTGTCAGGACTGAGTCGAAAACTTCCAGGCACGTCCACGCTTTCCGGGGTTTGGAGGGTTTAGGGTCTAGGCTTAAGGGTTTAGGGCTTAGGATTTAGGGTTTGGAGGGTTTAGGGTCTAGGCTTAAGGGTGTGGGGCTTAGGATTTAGGGTCTAGGTTCTAGGGTTTAGGGTTAAGGGTTGATGGTTTAGGGTTTGGGGTTTTGGGGTTTAGGGATTGAAGGGTTTCAGGAGTATATTCTATCAGGAATTTACAAGAAATCCATATGCTCTATTAGGACTTTACACTTGTTGGAGATAATCTACTGTGAATATGCCAGTAGTAGAAGTCTGTTCTATTACAAGTATACATGGATATAAATATATGTATTGTATGTATACACACCTGTTATAGAAGGCTACCCTCTACTGATCACCTTTGTGCGGATGATAAGTCCGAAGAAAACTTCCCAGCAGGGTTATGAGGAGGGACCCCTAGAAGGGACCCCTGATCCCAATTTCCTGTATTAGGGTTGAGGTCTCAGGGTCCCTATTATTCGGTAGTTTCGAGAAATAGGAGACCCTGCTTTAGACCCCAAAATATGATGATCCTTATAATAGGGACCCTCCAACAAGGTAGCCCTACATTTGGGGAAGCCCCCATATACCCCATACAACTTCCCATAAGCGACAGGGGTCCCACTAACGGTCCCTACTAAAGCTGCCCCCTCTTATTGATAGCTGGATAATACATAGCTTTGTAGAGCCCTTCAGATGACCCCTATTATAGTGATGGCAGGGTCCTAAACCCTAAAGCTCCTCAACCCTAGAGCCCCTAATGTTTAGGTGACAAAAATAACCACCCCCCAGAACTTGTTTTGCGATTTGGGCTTACGGAAGGGGGGGGGTCGCAATAAAGAGTGACGGGGACATGGGTAGGACCAGGTAATGCAGCTCGTAATACTAGTAGGACAAGTAGACGGGAATCTATTAAAATCGGGACGTTGCCGACCGGACAATCATATTTGCCCCCCCTTTATTATTGCGATTTGGAGTTGTTTATGTATTTTCGGGCTCCGAACTTGTTAGAAAGCAAACTTGATTGTCCCGGATTTTTCCCGGCCGGCAACAAAACGCTATTGCCACCCCTAAACCCTAAAGCCCCTGAACCCTAAACCCTAACGCCCCTAAACCCTAAGCCTTAGCAGGGCCGGGTCAAAGCTTGCTTCGATGACATCCAGGTTGGAAGCTCAGTTTTTGGAGCTTCGCTGTGACTTCAACTTCTACCTTAAACACTACTTGGAGGGTCAGGGGGACTTAGTAACAATTTAAAAGAAAATGGAAACTACTATAATATAGGGTTTAGGGTTTAGGGATTAAGGTTTAGGGTTTAGGGTTTAGGGTCAGGGGGACTTAGTAACTAGGTTAATAGTGGAGATAATTGGGGTTACTATGTGGGTTATAGGGGTTATTAACCCACTTACTAAGTCCCCCTGACCCTCCAAGTAGTTGCCTAAGAAACACCCCCAACAAATAGGGATAATGGAAAAGACAATGGAAACTACAGGGATTATACAGGGTTTATATAGGGATTGTAGGGTATATATTGGGGTTATGTATTGGGATAATGGAAAAGAAAATGGAAACTACTCTATTACAATAGTATATATATATATATAAACACCAGGAAGTTCATCGCCTGATTTGAACTGTAGCCTAAACCCCTTAGAGGGGATTATGTAAGGGGTTTTCTGGGGGAGTATTATGGGGCTTATATTGAGGGGGTTACTAGGAATTCAGACTACGGCTCGTTTGGCGGTATGTACGGATACATTGTGAGCGTTTGGTGGTTAGGGTCAGGGTCGATACCCCTCATTTGAGACTTGGAAAGAACAGCGGTACGTATCATAGACTCTAAACCATGCGGATTACAGTATCTGAGGGTATACTTGCTGCGCCTCTTGAGAGTCATGTGAAGTTGGGTTAGGGATTGAGGGTTTATAGTCCCCCTTAAGTAGATAGAATGTGGGGTATATGGGGATCTTATTTTATTATACCCAAAGCCATATTCTATCTACTGAAGGTGGACTGTAGGGTTTACGGGTTTAGGGTGTGGCCCTGTCAGGTCAGCATCCAAGCTGAGCGTGAGGCTCCGCAAGCACATGGGCTGTTCTCCAAATTGTAGACCCCTTTTTGGTTAAATAGGTTTATACAGAGTAATATAGCGGCTTATAAGGGTAGGTGATACTATTTAGGGGGACCAAATGAGACCCTGATTTTGGGAACTTTTCATATAAATTTCTAGCTTTTGGGCATGTCCTGTTTGTCAGGACTGGATCGAAGACAGCTCTCTCGAGGACATATTCCGTCTTCGGGAAGAATGGCAACACAAAAGTATGTAACTTTTCAGGAGAGGCTCCAGGCGCTCTTCCAGGTCATGGGCTGAAATGTTGAATTTGCCCACAGCTATAGTCCCACTGAAGTAGATAGAATATGGCTTTGGGTATATTATACTAAGATTTCCATATACCCCATATTCTATCTACTTAAGGGCCACTATACCCCTAAACCCTAAATAGCAGTTTCCATTTTCTTTTCCATTATCCCAATATAATCCCAATATAACCCCAGTATATTATATAGTAGTTTCCATTAAGGGGGACTTGTAGAGCCTGCTTAAACTCAACATGGCAAGGGGCAGCCGTCGCTCCAGCCGCGGGAGCAAAGGAAGCCGAGACCCTCTGCAGCTTCCGTGCCTTAACTGAGCCAGACCCTTCAAGTGTTAGTGTTTCCATTCTATTTTCCATTATCCCAATATATACCCTATAATCCCTATATAACCCATTATAGTAGTTTCCATTTTCTTTTCCATTATCCCAATATAAACCCTAAACCTGAAACCCTAAACACTAAACCCCCCTTGATCAATTTGCTGGTCCTGATGGTTGCCCAGTCCTGCTCAGGAAGCTTGCCTTTCAGTTTGTGGGTCCTCCATCACGGTTGCTTGGCAGCAGCCATGCTATCATGGGTTCCCCTACTACCCCCCTTTTCTCCCTTTCTTAACTCTAAGGAGGCCTAATTATCCTTCATAAAAGGAGGAACCTAGACAGGGGATAGCATGGAGGGGGGGTAGTAGGGCAACCCAGGATGCTTTGCGCAAAGTGAAAGTCAGAGACAAGAAACCTTTTTGATGCAGGCAAGAGCAGCGAGAAACAGTCGTTGGCCGGGAGCTTTGTGACAAGGAGATGGGGATCTTCCCAAAATTAGGGCCATATAGGGATCTACATATATATATATATATGTATGTATGTATATATGTCAGGATATTATGGGGTTTCATAGGGTTAAGGATTTCCCAGAATTAGGGGCGGGGCGCCTTTTTGGGTGTCCCAACAATAGGGCCCACAGTATTTTTCGGATTTGTATATCGACTACCAGATTCTACCCAAGAAGGTCGTGTAGCTCTGGTCTGACTAAGGAGGCTGGCGCCAAATCATGGATCCGGTTTGGAATCGACCTCTGTACGTGCCTACCTCATTTGGGTTGCTATTAAGGAACTTAGACTAAGTTACCATAATATGGGTAGTATATATGTTTGCTTGTTATAGTAACTTAGTTTCAGTTCCTCAGCAGCAACCCAGTCATTTGGGCTTCCAGCTGTCAGTTGTCACAGTTCTCAGATAGCTCCAGTGCGGTTACATAGGGGATTCCAGAGGGGAGTACTATAGGGGTTATCAAGGGGGATATTGGGAGTTTGGACTGTAGCTCACACGACCCCCTTACAATCCGTATATCTCCCTAAGGGCCCCGACAATCCCCTTATACCCCCTATGTCTCCTACTAAGGGCTCTCATTTTGAGAAACCCGCAAATGAGGTCTCTCCAGTCAACGGCCGGACGACGTGGGGAGTGAATGAGGCCTGCGGCCTGAATTTGAAAAGCCCTTTCTATAGAGATTCTATGGGTTTTCTGAAGGGATTCTATGCAGGGTACGTAGGGTTTCTTTGGGGTTTGTGTAGCAATTATATAGGGATTCTGTGGGACATGTGTGTATAGATATATATATATTGCATATTATATATTATATATTAATCATGTACAAAAACATTGTATATTATGTAATATATATATATATACAAACAGGATTAAGATATGTGGATTCTATGAGGGTAGTACAGGGATCATTAGGATGCGCAGTTCGTTCATAATGGGAGGGTTCTGGTAACCCTACTCTTCCCACATATTGGGCTCAGGTGATAAGAACTGGTGGTCTGGACGACCTGCTCCTGAACAGAAGCTGGGATCTGTGCTGCAACTCTGAACAACTTAAGTCCTCGAAGCTAGTGTAGGCATCCAAAATCCTGCGTGGCAGTAGTAATTACACTCCCCCAAACTAACATGGAAACCCATATGGCCCCCCTTAAGAAGGACTGTAGTCTTTATAGGGCCCTTTTTGTGTTTCCATGTTAGTTTCCGGGAGTGTAGTAATAACAGAATTCCCAGGCTATTAGGTGATAAGGTGAAGCGGATTTTGAGTTTCGACCGTAGTGGGAAAAGGCGTTCGCTGCTTGACTGGGCTGCACAGAAGCATAGAATAGAGCTGTTTCTCAGAGTAGTCCTTATCAACTGCCCAACTGCTATTACCAGTACTATTACTATTAGTATCCGGCAAGTATACATGCCTTTGGCCCCTAAAGGCAACCCAATCTTGAGAAACCATGTTTTCAATTCTTCAGAGATTCATCCCTGCAAACTGAGGCATTGATCCAGAAGCGCTGGAAATCCAGAAGCAAGATGACTGGTGCATGAACGCCTGGGGCCTTGGCGAAGAGAAACTTCTCACTTGAGCTTCTGTATGATTCTGGAATTTGGCTGTAAAAAAATAGCAGAAAGTCGCAGAAGGCAGGCATATCCCCTATATATCCCTACATAACCTCTATATATCCCTAGATACACCCTAAACCCTAAACCCTAAACCCTATTATATAGCCTGATACATAATCCTAAGATACCGCCTCTTTGACCCAACCTTACGCCGCCTGAGGTCTATGCAGATGCAGCCCTTTCGGGCGAACCTATAGCTCGTTGGGAGTCTCGCTGCGGTTTAGGGTTTAGGGTTTAGGGTTTAGGGTTTAGGTGGGAATAGTATCAGGATCATATAGGGGCTATAAGAGGATTAGGATTATACAGGGATGTAGGGGGTCGAACATGTTACACGACCCTAATAGTGGAGAAGCAAATGGAAAATAAAATGGAAACTTGGGTTGTAGAGCGTATCTATGGGAATATGCAGCGGATGCTGCACAGTAGCTTGATTGATTGGGCTCGAAGACAGAAACACCACACAGCTGCGAAGTGCTCACAAGCACTGTCACTCCTTTTTTCAAGAGCACGATTGCTCTCACCGTGGCTCAGCACGACTACAGGTAGCACTAAAGGGGCGCCCCTTTGCTCGTGCCTAAAAGGCATTCAATGCCGGGAATCGCTGAGGGTCAATGCACAAGCTGCACCACCCCCAAAAAGGGTCAGCGATGACTGGCTTAGCCAAGGGTCGCCCTGGAGGAACTCGTCGATGGCTTCAATGGCGCTCTTCCCTTGTTTCTTCGCTTTCTTGGCGGAGGTAAACGATGGATCATAGCGGATGCTCCACAGTTTGGTGCGAAGGTACTTCTGGAGTCCGAGCCGACATTCAGCTCGCTTCTTGGTGAGGGCATCGGCGAGGTCATAGTCCGAAGCCACCCAACGAAGAAGACCTCCAGTTCGCTGGATGTTTTCTCGAAGTTGGAACGCCTGAAGAGCAGCGCGCATGTTGCTCAGGCCCAACAGTGGACTTTCATTGATCTCCACGGCGTCATATCCTCCTCGAGAGTCGGTGCAAAGAACTCCTCGAATACGTTTGACCTGATTCTCCATGAGGGCCACAAGGTCTGCTCTTTGAGGAAGACCATCTCTTCGACCGCCAGCACCGTGAAGCTCAGACCACAGAAGCCGAGTGCGAAAATTATGATCTTCGGCTTCCAGGATCGATTGCACTTCAGCATCATTCGACCCTATTGCCTTGCGTTTGAGTTTCCATGTTCTCCATGACAGGAGGACCATCGTGCAGAACTGGCCGGAAAGACATTCGGGTCCTGCTGCTAGGGTAAGAAATCCGCCCGTGCTGTCTCCACGCGGCCTGTTGGCGTGAGCTTGGTCTCCCATGCTCACGAAGATGATCTCGCTCCAGTGCTGTGCTCGATGGAGCTTGCAGAATTCCAACTTGAAAACTTCTCGTCTGGCCTCGCTGACAAGTTGCTGTATCTCCCTTGCCGTGGCCATGGTTCCATCCGTGACCAGCTCCGTAAGAAGAAGATTGCAACGAGCGCAGAGAAGAGGTTGTGTCTGGATCGCGATCCACTGCAAGGCTCCCAGCGTTGTCCGACAGGCCTCGATGTCCTTGCTGGTGAGGGTCTCATCGCTTCGAAGACGGTCAGGAGCGATGTTCACGTCGGCAGTGCCTTCGATGTAGTACGACTGATCCACCACGATCTTCTCACAGCCGTGCTCATCCTTTTCAGTGGACACATCTGTTCCGGCATGGCGATAGGCTCCCGTCTTGATCATGCCCCACTTGTAGGCAGAGTCAATACCACGCTTGATGTCCAGCCATTCGTCAGAGTCGTCTCCAGTACGATGAAAATCATCCACATGACCTCCCACAGAACCAATCGTGAGGGGGTGTTCTCCATCAAGTCGATGTTGTGAGAGCCATATCCAAAGACATCGTTCTCCGAGAACTGGCTGGGCTCCAAGTTTCAGAAACGTTTTGTGAAGATCAAGCCAGAGACCACGAGGCGCAGTAGTGGACCCATAGATGTTGCGGAGGATTCTCATGATTCCTTCTTCACCGATGCCGAGGGCATCTCTGAGCTCTTGAACACCACTGGTCCACAGCTGCTCATCCGCAGCCGTTGGTTGCGTTTGTAGAAACGCAGTAGCAAGATCAAGGCCCTCTAACCTCCATTGCTTCTGGGCCGCCATGAGGTACAGGAGATGTCTGCCCGCGCTCTTCGCTAGGGATCAACTTCCACGTCAACACCCAGCGGGCCTTGACGATCCTGCCAGAATCGTAGGCTACCTTCACTTCGTCGCTGTTGAGGCATTTACGCACAGCCTCATTCTTGATGAAGCTATCAACCTCCTTGGCCTTGGCATGCGTGAAAAGCTTCCGCTCGGAATCCGAGAGCTTGCTGATGATGACCTCAGAGTCCTTCATCTTCTTGACCAGAAACAGAACGGGATTCCGTTCGAAGGCCTTCCGCTGTCGGTTGGACATGCCTCCCTCAATGTCCATCTCGATTCGGAGGAACTCCTTTGTCTCATCCATAGCAGAGAAAATGTCAAACTCCTGGGCTTCTTGGTGGGCCTCGGCCTCAAGCATTTCCACCCAGTTAAGGTGCTCGGACTTGAGCTTCTTGTTCACAGGAGCGTCGTAGTCGTTGACCGTCGAGGGATGCTTTGATGAGGAAGCTCGATCACCTGTAGGAGGAGGTACATCCTCATCTTCTGACGCTTGATGATCAGCAGGAGGTCCTGATGTGGTCGGATTTGTCTTCGTCCTCACCCTTCGGGTTGGAGGTGTCGTTGTCGTGGAGGAGTCCGGTGCTGGTGGTAGATCAGGAAATTCCTTCTCGTTCTCCGTCGGCTCCTGGTCGGTGATGTCAAAGTACTCCTTGCGGGGAAGGATGTCGGCGAGGGACTTCCATTTTGATGGATCCTCCACCGTCGTGGACTCGTACTGGAACTTCTCAATCTCTGTCACTGGCCGCACAGAATGGACCGAACAGCGGAACAGTTGGTTCCCTATGAGGACCCAGACGATATGTTTTCTGGAGTCCCCCTCAGCCTGATGAGGGAGCACCTCGCTGAAGATCACTCTGCCAGGGCCTACCCAATGGGGTCGACCAGATTTGCGCATGCCCCCACGAGGTCCGACAAATTGTTCCTTGGGCCATACACGACGCCAGATTTTGACCAACTCAAACTCAGAGAAGTTGCGAAGAGGTTGTCGAACTGTTGAATTGGCCAGTCTTGTTAGAACTCGCTTGGAACGGGTGCGTTGAGCGATCATCTCGGCATCCTGTCGAGCGGAGACTAGCTTGACATAGTCGACCTGTGGTTCGAGATTGTGAAAGGTGCGCAGGTCCTCCTCGGACAGGCTAAAGGTCTTGCCGAAGGCCCACTGATGTGCCGAATAGCCTGCTGTGTACTCGGTGGCATTCAACGCAGAGGTCGCCAGCTGAAGGGTGATCATAGGATCCTGGCCGCGTGCCTCTAACTGAATTGCTGAGGCCGTCGTCTTCAGGTCTTGGACCGCTGCCTCCACGATGCCATGCGCCCAACTTTCCTTCTCCGCCGTATATAGTGGATCATGATGTTGACACTGGAGGCAAAATCGTGGAGCGCATCGGAGATGAAGGTCTTCGCAGAGTCCATCAAAAGGTACTCAGGCTTAGGGTAGTTGCCTAACCATCTCTCCGACAAAGACTGGATGACATCCTGCGCCTTTTCTGTGCGCATTTCCAACAGATCACACATGTACAGGCAGTGAACTACCCGTAGTTTTGTAGCGACATCTACAAAGAGGATGAACTTCACCTTTCTCTTTTGATTCGGGACCACCCACTCACCAGAGTCTACACCAACAGCTTGCCATGCCTGGTACATGGGTGAGGTTGATGCGGGCGGTACCTTGCCGGAGCTTGTGCCACCAGGTCTGAGGCTTTCACAGGCAGGGCAGTTATGATTGAGGACCACATTGACCTTCCACTCTACATGGCCAGCATCTTTGACAATGCGGGCCAAATTCCTGTTGGTTGGATGTCCAGCAGCACGATGGTACTTGGCCACCTGAGCGGTCCAGCGATCAAACTCGTCTTGAGTCGTGGTGAACGCTGAAAGCGCTATCCGAAAACCAGACCAGCGCTGAGAAGCGTGCCAAGTACGAGGATTGAAGGCAATGGGCCGGTGATAGGCGTTGGCGATCCACCCTTCTCGTAGTCGGCCATCCGGAGTTTTCCGACGACACCGAGGTTGTCCATCTGGTCCTTGTTCATTGAGCCATAGACCACCACCCGTATAGGTGCCGAAACATATCAGAATGTTGGAGCTGGCCTTATCATTGTGGCAGTCTCGATGGGGCATCGCCGGACTGTCATAAGACAGCATCAGACTTGACCACGATCGATCAGGTAAATGGTGTCGTAGAAAGCCATTGAGGTACCTTGCCAGCGCTTCATATTTGTACGTTATGCGGCTTCCCCGAGAAAGCGCCATGTGAGAAGGCTCCAAGTAGAAGGACTTGAGGTTGTTGAGCTTGCCAACGTTGATGAACTGCCGGGTGGTACACCTGGGCTTGGTAAGCCGCCAAGAGCACCTGCTCACAGTCATGGAAGCCAAAGAGCCGTTGGCTGAGGCTTTTATTGACTAGTTCCACGAAGGATGTCCATGTGTCGGTCATACTTCGTTCCACGGCACTGAGGCTGTCAGTGTCCTCGGGGGCATGGAGCAGCGCAGCCTGCTCCTCCGTGATCACGTCACCATCCAAGAACTGGGTCGACGCATTAACCATAGAAGAGGAAGGTCCAGGTACTTCAGCAGGAGCTTCCCCAGGTAGAACTGAATCATCCCGTTGTGATAGGAGATGAACATGCTTCCGTGGAGCTTCTTGATCACGCCAGCGACGGGCAATGGCTTGGACCATTCGCCATGGATAGTAGGAAGAGCGGGTTGTCTCCTTGCCCTCTATGACGGTGTGTTGATGGTGACCGGGACAGACCTTAGTGCGGAAGACTTGGTGGAACTTTTC